TCAGATCGCTGCATTCACGCTCTGATGAACAACTCATGGTTAGCAGTGTTTTGACACTGCAGTGGCATATTGTTGCTCGCATCGACGACATGATGAAGCTTCAATTTAACAATTTCACTCACAACACTCAGTACCCGTCTACTATTCTATGTCAAATGCGATGGTCGAAAAATATATCCGAAGAGAGAGACGCTCCGGAACAGATTGTGGTTGGTAGTATGGATCCCAGAATGTGTCCCCTGCTCAATCTTGCAGTATACATCGAGGCAACGGTGAATGTGGCAAGATCTTCTTTCTTATTTGGAAATCCAAACGATGGAGATCGAGTGGTGAGGCGTTTTCTAGCTGACACAATTAAAAAATCGGAATTTAAGTCGTTGAAGACGGGAAAGCTGGGAACGCACAGCTTCCGTAAAGGTGCTGCTACTTATGCGACTCGTAGTGGTGTATCTAAAGACTTTGTCAATCGGCGAGGACGGTGGAGAACTCGCAAAGGCGTCGTCGACGTGTATATCGACAACACTCAGCCTTATCCGGACGCATGCACCGCCGCAGTCCTTGCTGGTCCAGCTGGACCTTGCTTTTACTCGCTGAAAGAGGGCATGCGGTGTGTCACTACACCACTTCTCGTCGACGAGATTGCTCCAACAATTAAACAGGTCATGGGAGAGCCAATAGCAAAAACATTGGCACAGGTGTTACTGTGGGCTGCGCTGGAGACGGATTCCAGCTTTAATTATTGTCTTCTTCCGGAAAAGCTGAAAAAAAGAATTTTACGGGCTTACATTAACGCCGGTGGAAGTACGAATTTGAATCCGATTCAAAGACAAGAATTTTATGTCTTGGGGGACGGGTCTCAGCTCAATCTCGTCGTTATTGACAAAACGCAAGAAGTGGAATCTGGTGTTGGTAGTATTGTTTCTGCAAGAAGTGCATTGGTAGCGGGCTCCAATGGACAGGGGACTCAACGTGAAATGGCTGCTGTACAATCTCAAATAGCGTCTGGCCGTCGCTACATGGCAGAGGTTATGAATGAAGTACTGCGGTCCCGAAGCGAGTCACATCGAGAGATGCAAAAGATACAAGCTATCTTGAGACGGATAGCCATGCAGCCGTTCACACCTCGTACTACTGATGGGCACGGAGTACCGTATCCACCAACAAACACTGCTCAAGGTGGATTTCGTGGACAAAACGCGGCACGTCTTTCAAAGAGACCTAAAGACCTGTATGAACTTTGGCACGAGTATCAGCTCGGATCCGGTGGGCTAAAACCAGCCAAGGAGTTTACATCCATTGAGCGAGGCGCAAACAAGTTCGCCTACTCCAGGCGGAAAGTCTTCTGGGATGTTATTTCTCAATTGGTTCGCTCTGGACACACTAGCGACTCTGCAATAGATAGAGTGTATCAAACGTACGGTAGGAATCTCTCTGTGTCTAGTATTTTAGTTAAACTTCGTACAGATCGTAGACGTGGAGGACATCCAAGTCTGCGATTGTAGCACTTCAACACGGTTCAATTCAGCCAATCAAACCTTATCCTTCGAAATATTAGCCTATCAAAACTATGGTTGCAATCCAAGTTGCATAAATGACCAATATTTATACAGTATTGTTGTACAGGGTGCATGCAGCCTGTTTCCCAAAAGGTACTGTAGCACTGATTTATCGCACCATCTGGTGATACGAGAGCTTGGTTGCATGTACCGGTATCCGTGATATTCTGAAGAATGGATCTCGGCAATACCGGTAACTTTATTAAGCGATCCGCGGTCAAGGTGCACATGTGTAATCGTTTAAGCTATTAATACTACACTCTAGGTATTAGAAACCCGAAGGCCCCAGAATGCGCCCCCCCCCTCCCCCGGGGGGGGAGGGCGCATCCTCCAAAAAAGGGTGGTTACAATCAAGATAATCACGAAGAGAGCTCAGCACAGACCGCTGCACTCTCGCTGTGAATAACCTGCATGCGCAAATCAACATGTAAATACATACCAGGATCTCAGCGAGAAACATACCATTATTCCTGCGCAAGACTCAAGTACCGTATGTGCTTGTCCGAAAACGACTACCTTTTTGTTTGGTAGAGTAATTTATGGCCACAGGGCAAACATGCGCTACCAATAATACAACACTGTTCAAATCGAGAAAAGAAAATCAAGTTTTACTATGATTACACACCATTTTTAAACTAATGTCTGTAAGCAAATTTCTACAGACTTATTATTCAAATTTCCACATGCATAAATTTTTCTGGCCAGAATACTTTTAAAAAGTGCAAAATTTACCAGCGTTTTGTACATCAATTGAGCTTTTTAGCAGTGAGGTTACGGTACATTAATGCTTTAGTATAATAATTAAGATCCATGTTCGTACATGTAACAATTTTGTAGGAAAATGTGTCATGCGAGACTAACAATTGGGACTGATGTTTCTCCTTAATTAATTTGTTTTACGGGGTATGCTCTTTGTCTTGCACAGTGAATGAGTGGCTGCTTACAAACACATCCACAAACGACGACGACCCCCCGCGAACGAGCGGTACGCAAGGGATTGAACAACGCATGCGTACATGTAGTTCGCATGCGTTGATTACCAATACTTCTTGGGGTGAGAGTCGATTTCGCAGTACCGGTACAGAACTGCACCCCGTTTTCGTGCCCTTGGACCTTCGATAAATTTCCGGATATGATGATCCTGAATCCAAATGAACCATATTTTGTATGCTAAAATCTTATTTATTTGCAAATCCTATATGGTATACCTTCCCGAAAACGGGGTGCAGTACTGTATGTGTCTGTATGGTTCATTCGAAAAGAGCCAGAACTTGAATAAGGTACGGTTCATATGAGTAGCAACGACCGACGTTTACAAAACCCATACTTAGAGCTCGTTTCCTTTTATCGCATCATTCGAAAAGAGCCAGAACTTGAATACGGTACGGTACATATGGGTAACAATGACCGACGTTTACAAAACCCATACTTAGAGCTCGTTCTCGTTTCCTTTTATCGCCAACAGGTTTTCACGATTATGAAAGTCAAGTGTCGCATCGGCGTTATAAATAATCACTTTGCAGTTTGATCTAGCCGCGTTCTCTTCATAGGTAAGCACTGTAGCACTGCAGAATCAGTATCAGGCATAGTAGTAGTAAGTTGGCCATGACATTGATACCCCTGATGTTAAGGCCGCCTCCTAAAAATAAACTTCGTTTAGTAGTATTAATTGTATTTAATTCTTGAACACTTCGTAGTCAGGAAATGGATGGTTCCAAGTACAATTTCGAAGTAGTGTCTTCCAGTTTTGAGCCACTTTCCGTTTTTGCTTTGTAGCTCACCGCCATACATTTCGAGCTGTACAGCTAATGGCATTTCTAAAACATGCCAAAAATAAAACTCAACTGAAAGTAAATTTACTTCATAAGTAGTAATATCCAGCAGAAAACTCCGCCAGTTTTTTTTCTACATTAAATTTAACAAGGAGAAAAGGTTTAATCGTTTCTAAGTGCGAGGAGCAGTTTCTAACGAGGCGACTACTCGACCAGCGAGAGCGCAAGTGTCGCAGGTAAAGCGTCCGCACAACCTCTAACCATTAGGTGGCAAAGTATATGACACCACCTCGTCACACCCTCATTTCCCGCTTAAGTACGGGTGCATATTTCTCTCCCTTTCTTTCATTCCAGAATTCGCCGGCTCAAGGAAAGATGGTGTTGCTTTCACTACAGTGCGCGGTTGTAGGCCAGGCAGGAAGCTCGTTCGATGTGGAGATCGGCGATGGTGCGAAGGTGAGCGCGCTGAAGAGGGAGATCAAGAAGGAGAAAGCATCGACGATCACATGCGACGCCAAGAACCTGCAGCTCTTCCTGGCGAAGACGGAGGGCGGCGCGTGGCTGTCGAGCGTCACTGAAGATGTGAAAAAGCTGAAGAAGGGGGAGAAGACTGCTCTCGTCGAATCTCTAACGCAAGAAGAAAAGGAGCTGCAGGGAGAGTCCGGCCTCAAGAAAGTGTTGGTGGGGATGCTGCCGCCATCCACCGATGAAATCCACGTGCTGGTGGTGGTTCCAGATGGGGCTGGTGGTTCAGCGAGTGACACTTCCAGGATGGATCGTCTATTCGATAAGGTCGACAAAGTGTATGAGCACACTGTGCTGTCCAAGCGTACGCGATATGTCCACTTAGAAATGAACTCAGCCAAGGGAAACATCCTTTTGAACGATTTGAAAATTCGGATTTCGCCTGTGGACACAGTTAAATTTGCCGGTGGAGTTCCGACTCCAGCAAAGGAATTCAAGTGGAAAAGTGACCGTACCGAGGAGCTGCAAAAGGAACCTTATCGTGAGTACGTGGTAGCCAACATTGGCGATGTCTTGACGAATAACAAGCTTTGCGTGGTTGGTGTGGAAAAAGGCGTAAACATCCTCACCGTTGAAGTCCCTGGTCGCGATATTGTTCTTGCTGGTCGCACGGATATGATTGTGCTGAGTGATATAGCCCAGAAGTTTCCACATTACTTGCCTCATTTGCCTGGAGTGAGGATGTTGATCGAAGTGAAAAAGGTGGTGACAACAGCGTCCGAGTTCCAGGCTTTGTCGGAATTGATTGCATTGGATTTCATCGTTGAAGAATCAGTGATGGCACTGCTCACGAACTTGACAAACCATTGGCAATTCTTTTGGGTCTCCAGGAAGAGCGACGACCGTGCCATCATAGAGACTACAACCTTAATCGCGCCAGGTGAAGCATTTGCGGTGATTAGGACTCTGCTTGACCAGTCACCGAGTGCAGGTGCCGAGGTCAGCCTTCCGTGCTTAGGAAAACCTGTGAAGCGTCAGAAGCTATCCCAGTTGCTGCCGTCCATCAGCGAGGCTAGTGGGAGTAGTGGGATCCGTGAGAGCATCGAACGATATTATGACATCGCCAGTATGTTAGGTCCCGACTTGGAGATGGCGCGTGCTGTGGCTAGCCAGGTTGCTCGATCTATTCCTACTTTGAGTTATTTCAGCTGATTCTTGCTGCGGCATTCTGCATTAATAAAATTCTTTTTATTTCTGACAAATAAAATGTTCTAGTATAATATAAAGTCCAATGACATACACACCTGAACAGTATCAACTACACAAGGAGCGCATCAGAGCCGCTCAGAAGCGCTACTACCTGAAGACGCGCGAGACTCGCTTAGCGTACCAGAAAGGCTACGACGATAAGAACAGAGATTACATTCGTTTCAGGAAGCGAAAGCAAAAGACGAACTTAACGAAAGTGTCGAAAGCGAACCTAACACCGAAACCGAACTTAGCTAATTAATTATTTTTTCGCAGATAAAAAGTCAATCTTGATATAGCTGATGCATAACATAGACAACACCACGCTAAAGATATTGACCGACTCTTCTTTCCTTAGATGCGAAAGGCTTTCTAACCTATGATTACGCTCAGACACTTTATCTTGGAAGAAACGACTATCGACTAACATATCTTACTGGTATCACGGCTGGCACAGCAACGCAAGGAGTAGCTCTTGTACCAGGAGCTAACAAAGATATCACAGGTATAGGAGCTCTCAGCTGCTCCAGTTTGACTGTAAATGGGTCTTCGATAACGTCAGCTCCGGACTACGTTCTCGGGATTGCAGGTGGTACTGCTCAAAACTCGAAAGCACTGGTACTATCCAGCACCGGATCTATCACAAGTGGAATTGTATCGCTAACACTTTCGGGGACTTTGTCGGCAGTCACATTGTCTGAAACACAAACATTACATCTGTAGGAACTTTATCTGGCCTTACTATTGGGGGAAACCTGATATTTACTGGTGCATCACGATCTCTTACAGGTTTGTCTACCCTAACAGCAACTTCAATTATTGGTACTATTGCAACACCATCTCAGACTACTATTACATCAGTTGGTACGCTGACTTCTTTAACACGCTGCTGACGCTTCAACAACATATAATCTATTTCGTATCGGTTTTATCGGATTAGCCCCATCCTTTTGTATTAATTCAGCGAGTAATGTCGGCATCGGTACTCAATCCCAAGCCTATAAACTGGGGCTGTTAACTCATCATCAGGATATTACGGTACGATCATGACTGGTGCTCAATCAAATATCACATCCGTTGGTATACTATCAAATCTGTGTCTACTGTAGTACCGCTCACCCCTGTTTGATCAACTCCTGAATAGTGTTAATAAAGGACTCAATTTTTGTATCGACTGCGTATAACCAAACCGCCGTCGTCGCTATCACGATAAATCGATAACAACTCCTTGTTCGCTGTTCCTTCGTAGAATCGAATGCAGTTTGAGCTGACTTACCCTAAAGGCATAATCCCCATTCCATTAGCGTCTAGTGTCATGTATCTAGAACCTTGAAACGTACCTAAGGTTATGACTTGGTTGTAATTTAATTGCGCCGCAGAAACACTGACCGTAGTGCCGCGTAGTTGAAGAGTTGTTGGGTTGATATTGAGCGTGGTTGCATTCATTTCTTGATTTCCGGATTTAGAAATCGTATCGCACGTCAGTGACGCTGTCACCAATCCGGTTATTCCAGTAATAGTACCAGTGCATGTGAGATTACGATTTCCATTGAAATCTTTAGTCGGGTTAAGCACCACAGCTTGAGAGGCACCAGCTGCCCCTTCAGTGATGTTAATGTAATAATCTTGACTAAAGTAGTGCCATTTAATTTTCAAGCTTGGAATATTTAATCCTGCTCCGCCCATGTCTATGTAGTTCAGCCGAGTACAAAGAAATTATTCGAGCTAATAATAAATTGGTTGGTTTCACAACGAATTATCAATCTGGGTGGTTTAACGGATACCTTCTAGAAACACAGGCCTGGGGTGGGAGTGAAGGAACTCAATTCCATACTACTGTAGTACTAATACGCTAAATTTGGTTGCCAATAGCAATTCTACTGGATCATTTACATATGGATGTAACCTATTGCTAACAGCTGTGAATTCTCAGAATCGACTAATTTTTAACTCAACGACGCCTTATACTAATGGAACGTATGGATCTGCTTCAGTAACATTGAAAAGTGGGAATATGTATATTAAATGTTCTAACGCATTCAATGATGGCACCACTAGTTACGATATGCCAATATTCTGCGAATCATCTAATTCTTCGTCGCCTGTTAACTTTGGTTTACAGCTGCATAATGGAGCGAATTCTACTAGCACCAATGGAGCGTATTTTGGAACGTTATCGAATAATGATTTCGTTCTCATGACCAATAATTCTCGAAGATTGACGATTCTGGGAGGAACAAATGCTGGAAGAGTAGGTATTGGCACAGCAACGCCTAACGCAGGATTGCAGGTAACTGTCAATGTAAGTCAAACTATTGATTCAGTTGGAAACGGTGTATCTTACTTTTTGAAAAGCGGTGGCTTGGTTTCAACGATTGGCCCCCGTATCTAGTGTGGCTGTAGCTCTCCAAGCGACGGGGGCTATTTTAGCCAGCGCAGGGGTTCACACTACCTCCGATGCAAGAAGTAATAATTTCTTTGATACGCTTGATAATACTTTAATAACGAATGGAATGCTTTCTATCAGGCCAAAGCTATATCGATACAAATCTCAAGATAGTTCTGTCCCACTTCAAATAGGATACAAAGCTCAAGATTTGTTGAAGAATAATCTAGGAGCAGTCATCAACTTTTTTTTCAAATGAATCATTAGTAGTTGAGGATTCCTCCGTCGATCTAGCTGGCATTGAGCTCAGCGTCGATTATAGTAAGATATGTTGCTACCTCCATATACTTGCACTGGAACAGCAGAAAAAAATCAATGCTTTATCAACGTCACCTACTGATTTGATAAGTCAATTAGCCTCTGCTAACACTAAGATTTCTGATCATGAAACTCGTATAAAAAATTAGAAGCCAAAATATTCAATAACCTGATATAACTTTGTTAAGGTCGCAGACCTTGACTTCGTCTAAGCTCTGCTCTATAGGCAATGTATTCATCAAAGCATTAGATTGCAAAGGTCTTGACCGTCTTTTTTTTCTTGCTAGATGGATAAGCCCAGACACGACCACCCTCTGTTTGGGTCGAAGCATCTACCTTCTTGATGGACTTTTCAAGATCAGTTGCCCAAACCGCAGCTTGTGTTTGTTGCGGGCGATCGCGAATAATGAGATTTCTCATAATTGCTTTTAGTTCCGCAACATTAAGGTCAGCGTTATCTCCATAGCTGCCCCCAGAACTTGAAATGATGCGTGGGTTAAAGAAGAACATGAAACAAGTTCGTCTAAGTTCTGCTCTATATCAGACGAACTATAATATCCTCGAATTCTGAATCTGAAATCAGACGGTTAG